GCTATCATATCATAAATTATTATTTATTTCTAATGATTCACAAATCGTGTTTCCTATTATAGCATTCACACATTATAAGTACCGTATACAATACAGACGTCCTTTATTGGCGGTCTTTTTGTAATTTTAATATAGACTGAAAATATCTATTTTTTCAGATATTGTATTTTCTCAAAGTTAATTTTTAAACTTATAGCACCGTGGGTCGAGAAAAGACGCCAATCAAAATTAAAACAAAAACTCGATAAAACCACACAAGTTATCAACTTTAAAGAAAAAAACCACAATTAAGAAAAACAAAACTAAATCCGTTTTCAATTATTTACAGACTTACTTACTGAATCCTTTAATATTTGCAGGAACAAATTTATAGAGGTTTGTGGGTGAGGAAAGGTTTTTTACACCTCAGTATAAAAATTGAAACATAGTGTAAGCAATTTATTTTTTAAAACGTTTAATCTTATTAAATTAAATTTACAAATAACTGTATGACTTTTCATATACAATTTTACTATATGATTTATCAATTTACCACATAGTAGGCTTATAAAAAATCCCCTAAATTTTTGGAACTATTTGTTACCACATTTTTGAGAACAATATTCAGTCCAAGAGCAAGTAGCTCTGTGTTGATTTTTCCGGTATTGTTATTCCAAGAGTGACAGGAAAAATAGAAAGACAAAGTAGGCCTATAGCCCCTCGACGATATACGCAAATCGAAAGGAGAACAGGAACGACTTCCCGTCTAAACAACAATACGATTTGGTATATCATCTCGATTCCTGGATTTACATTATTGTCAGGTTGCACATTTCATTATCCTTGAATAAAACACTGTTTCGCATCACATGAGATTATTTGCAGATCTTCCAAACAAAACTGTTTACCACTGTTGGTACACTGAGTTTAGGAATAGTATGAATGTCACTTCAACAAAGGAAAAAAATAATGTTACACATAAACATTTATCTGTGGTGATTTTAAACATAAATGGGTATTTCGAAACTTCCTAATATGAAACTGAATTGTATATACAGTACATGAATTACAAAATTCAGATCCGCTATGGACAGTTTTTAGTAACACTATGCTACAATCATCGATTCTTGTAATAATAATAAACATATATATTACAACACAGAAGTTTATGCTATTCATGTAAGGGGTCATTCATAATTTTCAACATTTTCAAAAAAGTACAAAACAACTCTTTTCTGTGACCCCCTCCCTCCCCTTGAAAAGAGTACGCCAAAAAAATGTTGATTTGCATCTTTTTTAGAATTTTCATAAAAGAGTACTTTGCATAAACTTTCAATCCCCTCCCAAAACGTATGTTTTGTACTCTTATGAAAATGTTGATAATTATGGATGACCCCTAAACAAGCCAAGTTTAAATAGTGGCTTAAAAGCAAATTTGTTTCTCTACTGAGGCAATTGAAATTTAGTATATCTATAATACATAAACCTAGTTCGCATACACTGATAACAATTTCGTTACTCTTGCTCTAAGAACTGTTTATTCTAATTCTCAATACACAGTATTTAGCGTCATGATGCCTACTTTGCTCTGATTGGAAAATTGCCTCATTTAAATAAATGCATATTAAGTAGGATATCTGGTAACTTGTACCATGGAGGTATTAGTTTAGACTAAACTAATTCCTCCATGATTGTACTGCATACGAACTGAAGATGAACTAATAATAAAGTTCGTAATATTGAATAGCAATGACTCTGTATTGCTTTTGTACTGTATATACTTAGTTTGTATCTTTGTTGAATTCGTCACTCACATCACGAACTAACACAATTAAATTCAATTGTGTTAGTTCGTGAAATCAAAAAAGCGCGTCAAAATACGCGCTGTTGTCGTTAAGGACTTTTTGTGTGGTAAAGAATACAAAATTGCTTGACAACCAATACGCGCTCGTTTTGACGCGATACTGTGATTTCACGAACTAACACAATCTACTTTGATTGTGTTAGTTCGTGATGTAAGCGACGAATTATTCCTGATGATGCTTAACTAAAAGCGAAAGGTAGAATAAAATGGCCTTGTCAACTTTTGGAGAGACATTCATACAAATTGTTGGTACTTTCCCTCTAGACGCAGTAGTAACGGTATTCGCCTGTAGATTAGTGCCGCTGGAACAGATTTTTAAAACAAAATAGAATGATTCTGTGTGGAGTGTATTTGAGAGGGGCGCTTATTACTAATTATGTGGCGTGTTGAAACATGCATTATTTAATCCGGAGAAATCCGCTAACAGTATCCTTACGATAGATACCAAGCATCAAGAAACATTCGGTAAAAATATGTGCTACTGATATTGGAAGTGCCACAACTTATGTCTGGTTTCATGAAAATCGCTAGACTGTCGCTACAGTGCAATCGTTGTACTCTACTGCGTAGCAAAGTCCCTGACTCAAAGGTTCCTGATCCGACCGACAATCAGTATCACCAAAAGCTGTTGGCGATAGCGTGTACCGATTGTATGGAAACCAAGTTTATAGCCAGTGACAAGATTCTTATGAGAGCTGGAGGTCCAAGAGAGGGCTCTCGTTGTAAACAGATCTCCCAGAAATTATTTCTTCCAACTTGGGACCCCTGGATCCTAGAAAATTCCTCAAGTTGCTGTAAATTATATACCTCTATGTTTGACGTTTTTAACAGCCTTTAAGACATCAGTGCAAAGTGTAACCTCAAATACAAAAAAAAAATAATTGTAATTATAAGTTATAATTATTATCATAACAGGATACCAAAACAATGCACAACTGACATTTGTGTATAATAGAACATTTTATTGATACATACAATGCCATTCGTTAGTCAACGAGTCTGTCCAATTCCTCTGGTATTGATATATAATCGAAGCGTTAAACCAAAATATTTCGGTAAATAAAAGGCACACGGACCACATGCTTAAGAAATGAAAGGCACGATGGAACAATTACAAAAAACATGGAGAAAATAGTCAAAACGGTCACTAAGCAAATCATAGGGGGAGCAGACGTGTGCCAGTTAATTAGGTAGATCTCGCAACACTTAAGTAGCACAAGGAAGTCGTCAACTACCGCTATGAGCCACCTTTATAACATATCTAAATTATTGTTGTTAAGAAGTATATTATCATCCTACCATCCCGAATAGCACCATACTTGTATCTCCTTCAATTTTCATAGTACAGAATCTGTCTTCTCAAGACAGCAGTTTAACCCGGGTCCTACTTAACACCACACGGAACCACACAAGAGTAGAACACAGCTTAATAAATCAATAAAAAAACAAACTTTTATAGTGTGGTTCCATGTGGTGTAGTAGTATTTGTTTAAGCAAATAGTTAACTCATGTAGCATTAAGTTACCGGTACTGCTTGCTACTTATCCTGCGGACAAAAATTCAAACCTCCATTTATATTTTTGCCACAGAATCTCATTTTTCTGATTCACCTGTGAGTTTAAATACTGTACATACTTTTTAACAAGCTCCACACATTTCAAATGAATTCATAATACATATTTAAATACTATGTTAAAAAAATGCCATTATGATAAATGAAATTGAAAAAAATGTGGCAAATAAGGCAAAAAAAACCATAAATTACTTTACTAAAAATTTGCATGATGATGATTGCTAAGGATTACAAGCCACTTGAAAATATTTATTAACATATGGATACAATCAGTGAAGAATGATACATTGTGAGAA